AGAACGTGTGAGCATTCTTTGTGCTTCCCTTTTAAAAAAATAATAGGTTGGAGAACTTCTGAAGGACTGGAGTCGTCTTAATGTCGCCATTACAAGAGCCAAACATAAGTTGGTTATGCTGGGCTGTGTACCATCCTTGTGTCTCTATCCTCCTCTGAAGAAATTACTTCATCATCTGAAGAATGAAGCTATGATATCCTTTCTTTTTCATTTACATATAACCAGGGGTCTTCAAACTTGGGCCTTTTATGACTTGTGGACTTCAACTCCCAGAATTCCTCAGCCTGGCATGCTGGCTGAGGAATTCTGGGAGTTGAAATCCACAAGTCATAAAAGGGCCACGTTTGAAGACCCCTGACATATATATATATACAGTGTTATCTTTTTGGCCAAGCTGCTGAAATGAAGACTGTTCAGGCTTCCTAAATGAAGATGAAAAAAATGTAAAATATTAATCAACTGTTAAATCTAGTCTGAAAGGACAAGGTTGCTTCTTTATCACTTTTCATTTAAAAAAAAAAAGAAACCAGATTTTGGAATCTTTTCTCAGAACGTTTGAAGTGAATTGTGTTCTGATTAGACAAAATTAAAAATATTTTAAATATTTAGCTAAAAGGAATAATGGGACAGCTTTTGGAAAGCATGGGAATTTTATCCCTTGATCCCCCCCCCTTTTTTTGTCTCAGAGCCTCAAAAGTAGATAAAGTGATTGTCTGTTTTGAATATTGTCTGCTATCTCCCTACAGAAACATTAGCTAAAAGGATAATGGTTTTTTAAAATTGCTTCTCTGGACTGGTGGTACTTTGGGAGGTGAGAGAAAGGCTAGCTATTAGTCTAGCACAGGGGTGTCAAACTGCTGGCCTGCAGGCTGGATGCTCATGGCGAAACCGCACCCACCCAATTGCCGGCAATGGAAAAAAAAGTCACGATATGTCGCGACACGTCATGTGACGTTACGAGTTTGACGCCCCTCGTCTAGCAGGAAGAATTTGATCTTGAGAAAAACCAAATGCTGTACCAAATCAGTGTCCAGATGTATGCAATAAGGTGCTATGCATCACCTGCCCTAGAGCACGCTGTTCTTAGGACACTACTGCAGTTGGTGAGCAAATGGGGAATTATTGCTGACCAAATCATCTACCTAGCTTTCTTGCTAGGATAGTGCAAAATGCCTGTGGATGCCCCATTAATTAGAGAGCTTCCAGTATTACTTAGTATAAGACAGGGGTCTTCAAACTTGGCAACTTTAAGACTTGTGGACTTCAACTCCCAGAATTCCTCAGCCAGGCAGTCTTGCTGGCTGAGAAATTCTGGGAGTTGAAGTCCACAAGTCTTAAAGTTGCCAAGTTCGAAGACCCCTGGTATAAGAGATGGGATGATTACCAATGATGTCAATTTCTAAGTTGGTCTTAATTGCAGCACCAGTTTTGACTGTCACAAATCTATGCTTAATTAACCCCACCTTCCCCGACTCCTCCCATCAACTACCTCGAGGGAATGACACTTGGGGCAAAAACTACTTGCTGCTTTCTTATACCATTTCTTTGCTCACATGGCTTGAAGGAAGCATTAACCTGGTTGAGGAAACCCCATTTGGAAGTGAAACATCACTCATGCTTAAGACAAGACTTTGATAAGGAAAGATTGTATTTGCATTGAAATCCATCTTTCCATCTATCGAGACAATTTTAGCATTGTTTGCTCATTCTTCTGGAGGCTTAAGTTCACTGTTAAATCAGAGACCCCCAATCTTTTAGGCACCAGGGACCAGTTCCATGGAGGGTGTTTTTTCCACAGACTGGGATGATGGCTGTGGTTTTGCACAGTCCTTGGATCCTGTGTGTACATGGATGGGGCTTCATTCACTTACATGGCCTGGTACCTGCGGCCCAGAGGTTGGGAACCCTTGTCTTAAATGTTATAGAAACTGGATTTAGGTAGAAGTTGAACCCTTAGTAGAGATGGAAACACTGCAACTGCTGATAACAGGAGTAAACATGGGGGTTTATAATCTTCTGAAAAGTATGCAGACCAGGACATTCTTCCACGGGACTAAGTCTCTTAAACATATTGACAGCAATAGATTTGTTCCTTATGTCTCTCTCTTTTTTAAGTTAATGACACATTTTAAACTTGATGGGAATTTAGCAGTTCTGAGAAGATACTTCTTTAGCTCCATGTTCTGCTTCATTTCATAGGTAGTCCTCACTTACTGACTGCAGTTGAGACCAGCATTTCTGTTGCTAAGCGACATAGTTGTAAATTGAAATATGTGACTGCATCTGATTTATGATTGCAGTTTGTCACTTCCAGCTGTGTCATTAAGTGAATCACCCACTGTGACATCACGTAACTGTGACTTGTAACTTCCTGCTTCCCTATTGACTTTGCTTGTTAGAAGCCAGTTGAAGGTTGCAAATAATGATTATGGGTTGCTGTGACTGTCATAAATGCACACCAGTTTCCTGAATTGCAATTATGTGACTGCAGGGACACCATAACTATGAATGGTCACTGAAAGAGTGATCAGTAAGCGTGGATGGCCTGTATACTCTAATGATTCAAAATATGGTATAAGTCAGATCCCTAAATATTATATAGGTTAAGCATTAAAACCTGACACAATTTTCATTGTGAACTAAAAAACATGTTTTCCTTAATGTTTCTTACATTTTCAGTATTCCTTTAGGGGCATATGAACATGTTTTGCATTGTAAACTCTTGTGACAAAGAAACATTGAGAAGAAAATCTTCACTAATATGAAGCTGATACACTAAATTCTGCCTGAAGGCGCTAAACTGAACTATTCCAGCTTGTTGTTCTATACATTAATGATGCCTTAAATAGATATTTGGGCATTTTAAAAACAGAGCTTAAAGGATTATCACTGTGTGTCTACTTGTATTTTTCCCATTTTGAAAAATAGTAACTATCTAATTGAGTATTTTGAATTCCGTTGATCAAATTGATTTTCTGCTCACAGGCGTGAGTGGCTTTAGCTTTGTATACAGAAATCTTAAAGCATGCAGATTACAGATTGCTGCTCTGTTTTCACTTCTCACTTTAATTAAGCATAAATTGACCCAAAACCTCTACTGTTAAAATTGGTTTTTAAATATTGTAGTATGTCTTCCTCTATGGCATAACTATTCAAGAAACTTTGTTTCAAACCCTGATCCCCACTTAACTATGATTTTTTCCTATGTTAAACATTTATTCTAGTAGGAATATTTATTTGGAACATCAATAATACAATTTTAATAAGGATGTTTGAAATGCTCTTTCTAATGCTAAATTTTTGTGTGAAATAGAACTGTGCAACTCAAGCTCATTGCATGTTCTAATCCCATTTACTTGAAGCAGTGTATGAATTCAATTTTATGATTGTGGGAATATATCTTGTAAGTCAGTGTTTCTCAACCTTGACAATTTTAAGGCATGTGGACTTCAACTCCCAGAATTCCACAGCCAGCATTGCTGGCTGTGGAATTCTGGGAGTTGAAGTCCACATGCCTTAAAATTGTCAAGGTTGAGAAACACTGTTGTAAGTCCACTAAAGGAATAAGCTACCTCTTGGATGATATTTTTAACATACCTTTGGATTTGATTGTTGTATCAAACTCCAAACTGCACTAAAATCAACTTCTTTTCTACATACATTTTTGTAATATTTTTTACCTCAGATATTGAACATTGTTAAATTCTCATCTGTTTTTGTAATACCTGTAATAAAATTAATGTGATATAGACATATACGTTTGCATTATTGGTATGAGTATCTTATAAATCTCATCTGCCATTAAACTGTAGCAGCCTTCCAAACTTGATTAAAAACAGCCACTCCTAATGAATGAAAACATAACCTGAAGGCTAAAGCAGTGTTTCTGAATGGCAACTTTTAAGATGTGTGGACTTCAACTCCCAGAATTCCCCAGCAAACATGGGCAACATCTTAAAGTTGCTAAGTTTTAGAAACACTGGCCTAGAAATTCCCTGCCCTTGCAGTACGCCAGTTTCTCTTCTCATCCTTAACTATCTTATCTGATAAACTATTCTGGTTAAATTATTATTAGATTAGCTTCAGCTGCACTCCAGTGTTGCTTATCACAGGAGTGATTTCTTAGTGGATGCCTGTAGGATTCTGCTATTATGCACTTCCTTTATGCAATATTTTTTTGAGTCAGTGGGATTGTAGGATCATAACCATATAATACAAAGCTGCAGGGAGACCCCGAGAAAGAAATACTTAGAAACAGTGTGGAGAGAACTTGGGCTGTAGGTAAAGCAATCATATTTTCTTGGGGGAAAAATAAGACAAACCTGAAAAAAGGAGCAAATCTGAAAGAGATTCATGAGGATTAAAATGTTTGTAACTGCTTTACAAAAAAAAAAATTCAATACCAAAATCAAGAAAACGTTCACAAAAATGCATATATTAATAAAAAAAATACCAAAACAGCATATATACATTTATTTTAAAAAAGACTTAAATTTCCATATTTTTCACATGAACACGATTGCGCATTAAGTGGTACCTCTTTGTATGGCCAAAAAAACCCAACCCAAATAAAGGACAGAAGTCAGTTTTTGAAAAATAAATCTCAAGGGTAGCTTTCTGAAATAAAGGCTGTATAATCTTTGTAGCTAGCAGGAGAGACCATACATCTGGTTGCGACAGACACGTGTACCTAACCAGATTTTTGCAAAACGCTTGCCAGATTTTTTTTTTCTAAACCAAGTCTTTAAAATACCGGTTTGGCATTCTTGAAAGCAAGAAGGACAAGACCAGTTGTGGCTTGTTTCTGCCAGTCGTGCTTCCTTTAGGTTCAAGATCGGAGGGTGGCCGTTAAAGCGGCACCCCGATTGCGCCCGGGGACCCGACTCTTCCCGCGCCGGCTCCGCGTCCGTCCTGGGCACGGCGCCATCTCGGTCCTCCGGCCGCGAGAGGCGCAGCGAGCCAGGCTGGGGGAAGCGGGAGGAGGAGGAGGAGGAGGCGGAGATGGGTGATGAAGAGGGCTGGAAAAGGGCCGTGAAAGCAGCCAAGGCTGGATCCGCGCTGAACTGCTCAGGCAGCTGCTGCACCTCGCTGGCCATGGGTAAGGTGCAAGAGGGGCGACCGGGCCGGGCCGGGCCGGGGAGACAGGAGGCGAGGGAGCCTCCTGGCTCGGCGGGCGTTCCCGAAGCGCCGGAGGAGATGCTGCTCTTCTCCTCTGGCTGAGGGGCCAAAATGGCTGGAGAGGGGCTGCAACCGAGGCCGCCTTTTCAGCGACTCCTGGATACCAAGAGCGAGTCGGCCGCAGGCGTTTGCTTGTGCACTGCCAACGCCTCGAAGCCGTGCGTGTCGCTGTGTGTGTGTGTGTGTGCAGGAGGGTCGAAGTCCGCAGTCCTCGGAGACCGCCGGCAACGCCTGTCCACCCGTCGCCCCTGCCCTTCGTCTCTCCCGGGGCGCGCGCGGGGCGCAGGATCTGGCGCTGCCGGGACCGGGGATCTTCCCTTCTGCCTTGTTTTCCTTGCGGGGGTCTCCCCGGGGCAGCAGGGGCTTTCAGGGGCCAGCGAAAAAGACGGGGATCGCGCGGGGATCGCGGCCCCTTTTGGCTTTCAAAGAGCCGGAGGCGTTGCCGGGAGCTCGGAAGAAGGGCGGCTCCCTGCAGCCCAGAAGTCGCGTTTGCTGGGCGGTGGTGGTTCCCGCCTGGGGCTTTGGAAACAGCGGTGCGCCTCGTCGCTCCGGGAAGAGAACGAGAAGCCCTCGCCTTAAAACTCCCCGTGAAAAGCGAGGCGGCTCTGAGCCCGGTTAGGATTCTGATTTTAAGAAGGGAGATCTGTTTTACTATCCCCAGGGCCCTTCTTAGAGTAATTCTGGAGTAATTTTTAAAATCAGGCGCGCGGGGCCTGCCAAGGGAAAATGCTCTGATCTGATACAGTAAGGCAGTGGTTCTCAACCTTTTTAATGCTGCGACCCCAACCGGTCGTAAGTCGAGGACTAAACCGGTCGTAAGTCGAGGACTACCCAACCGGTTGTAAGTCGAGGACTTTCCCTGCCCGGGAGCGCTGCGCATGCGTGGTTCCGCCCCCTGCGCCGGCCGAGGCGTAGCTGGCAAGCGGCAGAGACGGAGCAGGCCGACCACCAGCTGGCCCAGCCCAAGGGAGGTAAGGCACCCGCTGGAAAAGGGGAAAAAAATGGCGGACAAAAAAAATGGTGGACAGCCTTGCTTGGCGACCTCCGTGAAATGGTCCCGACCCACAGGTTGAGAACCACTGCAATAAGGGCTAGCAGGGAACAGAATTGAGATAACGCTGGGCCAATTTATGGAGAGTTGCTTATTGCTGGCTACACTTTTGGGTGGTTGTGGTTGCCCCCTAAACCGGAAGCAGCATATTTAATTGCCAGTTGCGAGGGAATCATCCTTCCCTTTTGAGCTTCCAAAATCACACTTGGTGGATTGCTGGGTGCCAAGGAAAGCTGCCTGGATGGGAAAGAATATTCCCACCATCTGAGTCTCCTGTTCTGGCCAGGGTTACTTCAGCAACAACAATTATGATAAACATATCGATGATAGTAGCACATGGTAAACAATCATATGGAATAAGAATAAAAAAAGTCTTGAAAGTGGACATTTCAGTATCCAGAGACAGCAGAATAGAAAAGAATGAACTGGAGGAAAATCACAAAATACAAAGACCTGCAGATAGAAGCAGAATGACTGTGGCAAAAGAAACCCAAAAACCTCTGGAACACTACTAAAACACCATCGCCATTGACAAATTCATCATCAGTCAATTGCAAAAGGCAGCTTTACTTGGAACAGCTTACATTCTGCAGTATCTTCAGTGCCATCAAACAATATCTGCCTATCCCAGTCCTTGGGAAGCACTCAGTAGGTGGATAAACATGCCCTTCTTTCCTTCATTACAAACATAATTGTTAGGTAAACTGTGAGCCACAAGGTAAATACATTATTATAACCAGTTGGTTTTAGTTAAACACGAAGTGTAAATCTCTTCTTTGAGATGTCAACATTTAAAATTCATAAACCGATAAAAAGAAAAAAATAACTATGCTTCCCCATACTGTGAAACGGGTTTATTCTAAGAAATAAGCATCACATGATGTGTCATTGTTAAAGTGCACTAAATTGCACTAAATTGGAATCGGATTTTAGCTGATATTGCAGTATCGGTGACATGATCTCTTATTACTGGCTTTGCTGGAAATACCCATATTTCTTAGCACAGTGCGCTCTGTTGCTTTGATGTTTTTTCCCCTTTCACTTTCTTAGATTAGAACACAGTTGTTCTTTAATCAATAAAATACATTCCTTAATCAATTCTCTCTCTCTCTCTTCCTCTCCCTAACCTCCCTCCCTCTCTCTTTCTCAGCTGTGAAAGACCCCCTGGCGATTGAAAGAGCAAATCTATTGAACATGGCTAAACTGAGTATAAAGGGACTCATTGAATCTGCTCTAAGCTTTGGGCGAACTCTTGATTCTGATTATCCACCTCTCCAGCAGTTTTTTGTTGTCATGGAACACTGCCTCAAACACGGCCTGAAAGGTACAGATAGCATTTTGGGGTGACTGAGTCTTTTCATCCCATCACCATTTTATTCTATATTTGGCCACTTGAGAGGGTCATTTTGGACTGGCTACTTCCTTTTGCATTGAGAAATAAGTATTGTTTTCAATCACAGCGTGTATCAGTGTTTCTCAAACTCAGCAACTTTAAGATGTGTGGACTTAACTCCTAGAATTGCTGGCTGAGGAATTCTGGGAGTTGAAGTCCACACTTCTTAGAATTACTGAGGTTAAGAATCACTGGTATAGACTGCTGCATGCTAGCTTACCCATGTTTACTTTCATTTTTCCTGCAATTTCCTGCAAACTTTCCTTTCTAAATCAATTCAGAAGGAAGCTGTGACTTCCTCCTTTGAGTTCATCAGTATTATTTCATAGCCAGTTTTACTTCATTGGATTCTGAATGACATGAGTTTGGTTCATTTGTTTTGACCAGCTTATTCCCATTATTTGTTGGCTGCCTAGAAGTGTGATCTTGGTTTTTTCTTACTTTTTCTTCACTTACTACCGAGTATAGTTGTAAGTATAGTTTTATGGCTGGCTGCAGTGGCTGTAAAAAAAAGTCACTGACATGTCATTAAATTAAACTTGTTGATGCTCTATAAATATAAAAAAAATGTTTATAAACATCCCCAATACAGGTAGTCCTCAATTTACAACCATTTGTTTAATGACTAAAGTTAAAGACACTGGAAAAAAGTGACTTAAGACTTTTTCCACGCTTAATGACCATTGCAGCATCTCATGGTGACATTGTCAAACTTCAGACACAACAGTTGCTGTGTCCTGGGGTCATGTGATCACCTTTTGTGACCTGACAAGCAAGGTCAATGGGGAAGCCAGGTTCACTTAAAAACCAAGTAATTAACTTAACAACTGTGATGATTCACTTGACCAGGGGTAGGCAACCTTGGCTCTTTTATGACTCGTGGACTTCAACTCCCATCAGGAATTCTGGGAGTTGAAGTCCACGAGTCATAAAAGAACCAAGGTTGCCTACCCCTGCACTTGATTAATGACCGTTTCTTCAGAGCAAAAGGCGCTGGGAAAGGGAGGATGCTCATTCGTTTACGACTCCTGAGGGAAATAATCAGTAACACAGATCATGACACAAATAACTTTGACATCTTGAATTTCTGATAATCCTGTTTAGTTTACTCCGTATGTTTCCCTTGAAGGTTATTAGGTAGTATTAGAAAATCTGTGACTCCTCTTTTGTCTAATTCAGGGGTAGGCAACCTTGGCTCTTTTATGACTCGTGGACTTCAACTCCCAGAATTCCTGAGCCAGCATGGCTCAGCTTGGAAACCTCTCCCTTTCCCCTCAGCATGGCTGGCTCAGGAATTCTGGGAGTTGAAGTCCACGAGTCGTAAAAGAACCAAGGTTGCCTACCCCTGCACTTGACTAATGTGGCATGAAAGGTCATAAAAATGGAGCATATTTAATATATGATAAAAAGGTGGATACAAATTTCAAGGCTCATATTTTAAGGAGTGCTTTATTACGAGTTTGGAAGAAATATTATTATAAATTAAATTATAAAATTCCTATATGGGCAGCTCCAGCACAGGTAATAGAAGGGATATCTAGGGGAGTTAATTTGGATAAAGTTTCTTATAAGGAATTACTTCGTCCGTTTGGACAAAGTTGGCAACTTAAATCATTAGCAGATTTGAAACAAGAAAATATTGTGTATTCATGGTTTTATTATAATCAATTGTTAATGAGGTGGCGTATGGATCAAAAAGTTGGTATTACTATGCAGGATGAAAATTTGATTGTATGTATTCTAATTTACAACCTAAGTGCTGGAGATGTGGAAACTTAAATGCAACGTATTTTCATATGTGGTGGACATGTAGGGAGGTTAAAGTATTTTGGATTAAGATTTGGTGGAATATTCAAAATATTTTTAAGAAAAAGATAAAGTTTAAACCACAGATATTTTTGTTGGGTATTTTGGAAGATTTGGATGCAAAAGAAATGGAGTTGATGTTGAATCTTATAACTGCTGCAAGATTATTAATTGCTCANTTTTGGAAAACGAAATGTTTACCTACTATAGAAGATTGGGTATTTAAAGTCTCAAACTTAGCAGAAATGGCCAAGATTTCCGCTTATGTGAAGGATTACTCACAAGAAAGATATATGTCGGTTTGGAGAAGATAGATTGATTATATTGAGTTTAAATATGGAACAAAAAAATATCATTTGGTTTTTGAATGAATTTCTGAGTATTATTTTTGTTTAAAAGTTATAATGTTATTTAGTTTTATTTTTAATATTTAAAATTATGTTAATATTATGGTATTTAATAATTGTATATTTGTTTTAAAAGAGAGTTAAAGGAAGTTATAGATTTGTTAGATTAATAGTTGATTAATGTTAGTTAGATTATGATTATTTTATTGTTAATCCTGTGATTGGCTCTGGGAAGTGAGGGGGGGGAGGGATGGAGGGTTGGGTTTGGGGGAGGGGGGATTTATATTGTAAAATTTTATAAAATTTTCAATTTAAAAAAAAAATGGAGCAAAACTTACTTAACAACTGTTTTGCTTAGCAATGGAAATTTTGAGGTCAATGGATGACCACCTATACTTGTATGTCTTATCCAGCAAGTATTTCAGATGCTCAGGGAAGAAATATATTAAATGTTCCAAGAAAGCAAAACAAGGTATAAAAAGTCAAGATGTGTTTATTTTTTTTCCTTCTAGTAAAAAAATCTTTTCTAAGTTATAATAAAACCATATGGGGCCCTCTGGAACTTGTAGAAAAATTGTATCCAGAAGGTGAGGAGATTGCTGCTAGCGTTAGAGATTTACCTGGTCTCAAGTAAGTTGTTTTATTGAAATATTTCCTTCACTGCTTTTCATACATAAATCATGAGAATGAACAAGGATTCATTTTCCACAGTTAAATGTATGTAACTTTTCTTAACCTCATAGAACAAGGGTGTCAAACTGCTGGCCCGTGAACCGGATGCGGTCATGGAGAAACCGCGCCCACCCCATTGCCAGCAATGGAAAAAAAGTCACAATACGTCACAACACGTCACGTGACATGAGTTTGACACCCCTGTCATAGAATATTCTGTGGGTGAAATAATGTTGTTATTCAAAATTGTAAGAAAGGAAGACACGGGGTTTTGTCTGATGCAAAGAAGGCAAGATAGAAATTCTATCAGATTCGGATTATTTGACCATTTATTGTCTAACCTGGCCGCAGTTTTGCTCAGATTTTTGAGGCAAGGTTTTCCAATCAATACCATAGAGTGCCAAAAATTGAAGCTGGGATCTTATCCATCCAGAGGTCTGTTCTCCCATTGAGCAGTATTCCTTTGCAACTGCCAGCACTCAAAAGGAGACCTGACAATGGGCATAGTTGTGTTAAAGTACAATCCATCAATCTCTGACCCAGCAGAAAAGTGGTTCTTTTTTTAAAATATGTTTTATTAATTTTTTAACATAATCACCTTAATATTCGGTAAACAGTGTGTTTGTCTGGGTTTACATTTACGAAACATTCACTAACATTTGATTTCTATAATCTATAATCCACATAATAACTTTACTTGATTTCCTCTTTTTCCCATAATGTTCTCTTTTACCAACCTTAAGTTAATACAATTCTTGTTGTTTTAATGAATGATGATTGAGTATAAAAGTTTTCTAATATTTCTACAGATAATAATCACATCAATATAATATTCCCTTTTCTATTCTGGTCATTCTGGTTGTCTCATCATAGATCCTGTTTACAGTTCTTGTTTACATTTGTTTTTCCAACAATGTTCAAAACATTCTTACTGGTTAAGATTTTCTCAAAAGTTAATTACATTTAAATATTTAAGTTTATTTTTTCTCATGTAAGCCAAACCAATACTTTTACCTTTCTTAAGGAATAAATAAGATTAAAAAAAGAAAAAAGAAGAATAAGAATAAAAAGTGGTTCTTATCACAAATTAAGTAGGGGAAGATTTTAATAAAATAACTAGAATATGAAATATTGGTTCTGATGTGATTCAAAAATGCTATTCATAAAACCAGGAGCTGTTAATTGAAAGAAAGAATTATTATAGGTACCCATGTCATACAAAGGACTCTTAGTGCCTTACAAGAGTAGACTTAATCTTTCTTGAATATTTCAATAGAATAGAGTCCTATGGAGTATGGTCTCCTTTGAATGTCCCCCTCCAAGTCTCAGTGACCCACCCCTAGATGGAATGACCCGGCCTTTGATCTTACACCAACTGCCCATTGCAGAAACCACAGGGTTAATCTCCTTCCTCAGAAAAAAACAAAACAAAATGGGATGATATTTGCCCAAATATAGGGCAGGACATTATCTTTTATTTTGTGTCTTAAGAGTTTTCTCAAGTAAATGTTTAAATCAGAAGGTTTTTTTTTTATAAAAACAACTTTTTGTTGAGAGTGTAAAGTGGCTAAAATTGAATATAGAATGGTTAAGAACATTGTTCCAAATAAAGATGGAAAATAGCTTAATCCCTACCTCTTTATTAGAAAGCATATTGAATAGTGTTAGAAATGGCAGCTCTGACTAATGTGTCTCCATGCTGTGAACTGTTTCTGTTTTTAAATCAGAACTTCCTTAGGACGCGCTCGGGCTTGGTTACGTTTGGCACTTATGCAAAAAAAGATGGCTGACTATCTACGTTGTCTCATCCTTCGGAAAGATCTCCTCGGGTGAGCCCTTATTCAGGTTCTTATTAAAACTCAGTGCTTTGATTGCGAACAGAATTGTGCACATTGATTGTTTTGCATTGTAATTAGAACTTAGCTAAAATATTTATTTTCTTAGCTAAATAAAAGAAGCAGAAGCAGAAGCATTTCACTTTTCTTCTGAATTATAAATTTCAATAAAATGTTCTAATTGAGTGACTTGACATCTTTATTTTTAGAAGGTTTGGTCGAACAAAAAAAGAAAGGGGGCATTCTAACGTTCATTCAGGTTTTGACAGTAGTATAGTATAAACCAGAAGTCAACAGTACAATGCCTGTGACTTGCCACAGCAATGGCAATAATATATTCTTTCTCTTTTGCTGTTTAATGTATTCTGCAAATTTACATCATGCTGCCAGCTGTTGGAAAAGGTGCATACCCAGAGCATAAAGTGTACAAAATGCAGTTGCACAATATTTAATTTTATACTTGCAGAACTAGGCTTTTTTTTTTTTTTTTTTTTT